CGATTGGTTTAAATTTGTGGTCCATGACCTGCTAGCCATTTTTCATTTACTAGTATTTAGATATACTAGATAGTGATCTACTTAACATAATGTGAAAATTGCTGATTTTGTTGTTAAATCTGATTTTATTGTTTAAATATTTCCTAATACTTTGTTTTCTGGAGTTTCAATAATAATAAAATCCATTTCAAAATGGAAAAAAATAGCATTTCCTTCTGATGAAATAAAATAAAATGAATGAATAAATAATAAACAACTTATATTGAATATCAATTATAAAATCTGACTTACCCACACTTTAATGTGTCTGTAACTTAGAAAATTAATCATGAAATGACTTATTTTTTTCATGTCTTCTTTATAATTCCTCTACATATAATAATTTAAAAGTTAATTATACACATATTAATTTACACACATATTAAATAAACTTTTGTATTTTCTTAAAAAACTGTAGAGATTCTTACAGATATAGTCTATTGTCCAGTATCTTTTACATTTTTCTCCTGAAATAAAACATGCAACTGCAGTGAACTATTAATTAAGGAAATCTGTGGTTCTACATGTTTCATTCCATGAATCTTTCTCAGACATTCAGGAGAAGGTCTACTGTACTTGTACGCAATTAGTAATAAGCTTTAATAATTTTCAATACCATACTCTTGTACAAAAATATTTCCTTTTACTTTGATCCAAATATTCAGAATCCTAGCAAAAGCTTAGTCTCTATAATTTAACTTGTCAAGGAATAGCTTCTCCTCTCCCTGGTTTTATCATTTGTATAGTGTTATCCATTATTGTTCAACAAATATTTATAGATTTACTGGAAATGTGACATATCGTCGTTCATCTAATGAGTGACTTCAAAAATAAAAAGGAGGGGCTGGCCCTGTGGCGTAGTGGTTAAGTGCATGTGCTCCCCTGCGGTGGCCCGGGGTTTGCAGGTTTGGATCCTGGGCGCGCACCGACGCACCGCTTGTCGAGCCATGCTGTGGTCGTGTCCCATATAAAGTAGAGGAAGATGGGCACGGATGTTAGCCCAGGGCCAATCTTCCTCAGCAAAAAGAGAAGGATTGGCATCGGATGTTAGCTCAGGGCTGGTCTTCCTCACAAAAAAAATAAATAAAAATAAGAAAAAAATAAAAAGGAATAGAGAAGAAAAATAAATAAAAAAGGCTAAACAATGAAACATAATAGGTGGTGTAAAATAAAGATGTTTTCTTTTTTTTTGCAGCCCTATATCATGGTAGTGAAAACATTTGATTTGTGTTTTCCTTTTGCCAAAGACTTATGTCCCTGAAGACTTTCTCTCCTAGGAGCGGAAAAAGAAAATAAAGGATTGCAAATACTAAACAAATGCTTAAGACTGACTGACAGTATTTCTATTGTAGTATTCTTTTAAAAATTTGTTTCAATGAAATCCTTTTAAAGAAGTTTTTATTCTGCCAACATCTCTCATTCAGATTCCTGGAGAAAAGAGATGTGGGTGGCAGTGACTAATTGAACTAGCAGTTACTGTTTACCAAACAAGTTTGGACAGATTATATTTATAATAGACTAATGAAATCAAGACCATCGAGTATAGTCAGTGTCAGACAACCGAAGAGAGCCGTTGGGCTATATCTGATGGCATATTGAGTAAATTGACTTATTAAAGTTCATTAACATTTGTTGGCCACCTATGTTGTCAAGTACTGAGCCAGGCTTTGGAGTTGCAAAGACGACTCAAAATATCCCTAGCCTAGAGCTTCTTGCAGATTAGTGGAGGATGTAGACACAAAACAAATCATTTCAGTAAGATTTTTAAAGTGTTAAATGTTAAATTAAAATTACTTGCTTCTCCCACAGTCTTTCCCATCTCTGTAAATGGTGATGCCATCTTTCTAGTTACTCAAGTCATCTTTGACGCCTCTTTTTCTCACAGCTATACATTCAAACTATGGGAAAATTCTCATAACCGCAAAACATGTGCAGAATCTGATCACCTTTCACCAGCTCCACCTCTACCTTCTGGCCAAACCCTCTATTATCTCTTAATCTGGATTATTAAATAAAATCCAATATGTTCTGCTCCATACTTGTGCCTTTTTTTTTTGTTTGTTTGGTGAGGAAGATTAGACCTGGGCTAACACCTGTTGCCAATCTTCCTCTTTTTGCTTGAGAAAGAGTGGCCCTGAGCTAACATCTGTGCCAATCTTTCTCCATTTTGTATGTGGGTCACTGCCACACGGCTTGATGAGCGGGTGTAGGTCCACACCCAGGATCCAAACCCCCAAACTCCAGGCCACTGAAGCAGAGCACACAAACTTAACCACTACCCTACCAGGCCGGCCCTCACACTTGTGCCTTTAAGTCTATTTTCAACATGGCAGCAAGATGGCTCCTATTAAAACACAAGCCTAATCATATCACTTGTACAAAACCTGCCAATCGCTTCCCATTTCACTCAGTAAAAACTAAAGCCCTGAGAGTGGCTGACACGTTCCCACAAGACCTTTTCCCCTCTGAACTTATCTACCTTCCTCCCTAGCCTCCCAGTCCCCCCATTCACTCCCCTCTAGCCACACCCACTTCCTTGCCCTTCCTTGAACTCAACATGTTCACTTTTGTCTCAATTCCTTCTTTCCTTCCTACTTGCTGTTTTCTCTTGCTTTCAATGTTCTTTCCCTTTATCATCTCATATCATTTGGTTCTTTACTCAAAAGTCATTTCGTCCAGGAGGCCTTCTTTGTACATCCTATTTAAAACTGCGATCCTCCTACTTCCCCAACACCCCTTATTCTACTTCCTGACTTATTTTTTCTCTACAGCTCTTCCCACCATCTGACATAATAGATAGTTTTCTTTATATTTTGTTGTTTGGCAACCCTGACTTGAATCTAACCTCCACGAGGGCAATTTTTGTTTGTTTTATTCGTGACTCTCTAGCACTTAGAACAATGTCCAACACATAGCAATTGCTCAATAAGTAAATGTTGAATCAATGACTCTCCTTTTTGAGGTGATCCTTTAAGGCAAACAGGAATTCTCTTTCTGGGTGTCCATAAAAATTATCATTTGTATAAAATTTATTTGTTCGTACGTCAGGCTGTGTGACTGACTCTGAGTTTAGCTACAGGGATAGGGCTGGCTACCTAATTTACAGAGCCCAGTGTGAAATATAAATGTGACATCACTTGTTCAAAAATTATTAAGAATTTCAAAATGGCAACTGCCAAGTATCAAACCAAGTATGGGGCTCTTCTAAGTACAGGTTTTACGCCCCTGAAGCCAGCCCTGTAGAGGAACTACACATGTATCTCTTCACCTTCGTATCCCAATAGTTAGCAATGTCCTTGGCACATAGCAGGTGTCCCATAATTGCTTGTTGACTGAATGCATGTATCCTTATCTGGAAGAAGATAAGACAGATTTGAAAGTATTCCACTTATATAGTACCATCACAAAATAGCCCATATTTTTGGAAACATAATTAAAATGGAAAGCCTGCAGCAAGTTAAATGTGTTTTTGGGGAAATCAGGATTAGGTGTTGCCCTAAATTCAAATGCACTGTTTCACTTCTGATCCAGATTGACTTTCAGAAATTTCTAAGTTTTCTATTTCAGAAATTAAAACAAATAAGATTAAGAGAGAGACATGATCTTGATCTATTCTATTCTATCTTACCAAATAAATCTTTATTTTATTCAAGGTGTAAGGCAACGTCCTTCAAGACAATATTCTCCTAGAATCATAAAGGTGATAGATTCAGTCACCAGTGCATATAGTTTGTGAATTAACTGTACTAACTGAAAATAGCTAATCTAGTATCTAGAGACCCTTTTTTGTTTCCTTGATGCAAAAACAAATATATATAATCAAATAATCAAATATTTATTTGATTATCAATAAGTTGGTTTCCAACTCCCAAGTAGGAGGTTTTTCCTATCAATGTGTTCCTATGGCATAATTTAGAGAAAACAGGAATTTGAAAATGAGCTTTAAATCCCATAATTTAGAGAAAACAGGAATTTCAAAATGAGCTTTAAATCCCAAGATAGCATTTTCCTTAAAGAATAGAAGGCATATCTATTTACAGGTTGCTTTAGAGAAAATGGTTATTCTATTTTCTTTCGTGCTGAGTCAAAAAAAAGTCCATAGGTCTCTGAAATCTGCAATGTACTGGACAGATGGATGAAAAGAGATATGATTGAATTAGTAAATGAGAGCGAGCCTTCTATAGGAGCGGGAGCAATGCGGGATCTTCAGGTAATCCATCCTTTCTTCATTTCCTCAAAGTCAAGGCAGCCTTTTGCTTTAAGGACAACAATGATATGATAAAACCTCATAACTATATAGAACGTTTTATTTTTCAAAGGACTTTTTTTCTGTTCTCACAATATCATTGTTAGGAAAACAGAACAGGTAGGTTATTTTTATATCCTTCAGAGAAATGTGCATGCACGCATTGATCAAAACGTAAAGAAAAAGAGAAGAAAATGAGGAGAAAGTAAAGAGTATGAATTCAGTGATCATTTAGAACATATTATTTTTGCCACAGTTAAAAATTTATTATTATTTTAATATTTTATTATTGCCACCAAAGTATATCCAAATCTCTAAAATTTTAAGTTTATTATCCACTTGCAAGCATTATCAGAAAAGAAAAATAAATGATTAGTTCAGTTTAAAGATCAGTGTCATGAAGTTCAATCTTTCTTTTAAATCTCCTATAAATCAGCATTGTTTCCTTAAAAGTTGCAAATGAAACCTACATGTTATAATTGCTTACTTAATTAGTATTTTCTGAATATTATATAGGTATTTTTTCTACATAGGAAACTAAAAACATATGGTGATACTTAACCAGATTTTGAATTCAGTATATGCAATAATATCCTCTGAATTTGGAAAATAAGTCAACGTAAAGTTCTGAACTACAGAATTTGATATCTGAAAAGCCAAATTAATGAAAATTTCATGGAGTAATTTATTATAATATTCAATAATTCTATATTGCATATAACCAATGACTTCAATAAGCGCTAAACTTAATTAATGTAATTCAAAACTTTATTTTGGAATAAAAAAGAATACATGTGATTATTTTGAGATTTAATTGGTTTCTTCTGGATGAATTAAAATCCAAAGATCACATTTCTGCATATATTCTATTCTTGATATGTCTGAAGAAAGAAACAGTTAATGAGACTTGCAAAACCTGGAAGAAAAGGAAAGAATAAAAGATCAAAATATAATCAATAAGCGTAATTTGTAAAGTTAACACTTCTATATGATCACCAAAATGCATACTGTAAAGGGAAAAAGGATTAAAGAGGGTGAGAAATTTCAGACTAAGGTACATATGGTTGTTAATGAGAAGTCTGCAGAGTGAGTCTTCTAGAATAAACCAGGTGTCACCAAGTTCATTTATAGGGGGCACTAAGGAATAGACTGTTCAATTTTAATCACATGGGTTATCATCGGATGGCTTACTGAACTGCTGATCTGTTTTTGTTCATCAACTTTCTATTTCATCAGTCTTACAAAACTGCCTCTTTTTGGCATAGGATCGTGAAAGGTGGTGTGTAAAGGACAGAGGATAAAATGCGGCACAGATACCATCCCTCCTCAGTCTTGTCTTACTATCCCCCCTCAGCATAACACAATAGAGAATAAACATTTCAAAAGAATGATATTAATGCTTATAAGAATGTCTTGGCTTACCACCATTCTGAGACTAAAACTGCTACCAGTTGAAAACAATTTGTGGAAATTTAGGTCAGTGCTTTGTGGATCAACATAAAATTAAATTCAGTGTCCTATTCTGGCCAAACTATGCATTATAAATCCATTCCAATGTTACAGTCTACACTGTAATCACCTATCCAGTCTCACAGTTTCTTTGAATCCATAGGCTTCATTTACTCTCATTAGTCTTCAAGGAGACTGAAGAATGAATGAAGTCCTGCTTCTGAATCTCAATTCTGCAGTGGCATCCTGAAAGTCATGGAATATGTCTATTTTGCTTCCCATTGTATCTCCGGCATCGAATACAGTACCTGACACACAGTATATGTTCTCCCTCTCCAAATGTATTGAATGAACGAATGAGTATATGACTGAATCTAAGTATATGAGTAGATTTACTAATGTCAAACACCTGCCTAGATTTCAGAAGTTTGCCAACTTGCAGATTGCCCAACAGGGTGCTCTCACTGCCGAGATATGAAGTATTATTTTTATATCACAAAGCAATGAAATCAATACCTGCCAGGATGATCACTTATTAACAGGCTCCAACCACTTGGCTGATTTAGGCATATCACCTCCAGCTGGGCCTATACTTCAGCCGGGTTTGAAGAGTCTCCAAGTCCTGGCTCCTATTGGATTAACTTGTCTAATTAGGTCTCCACCTGGTTGTTTACAGTTTATTCTCTATAGTTAATACTTAATACTTTTTATCTTTAAACATATGAACAAAAGCTTACCTCTGAAGCCAAAAGTCCAAAGTTAATTCCAATTAATGTTAAAGCATTAGCATGATACCATATGTTGATTTTATTTTCACAACCCTAAGGAAAAGAAATTACTTAGATGGACTTGGAGATGGAAATGTTCTTATACATAATTGTATTACAAAGAAGAAGAGACATGGAGATTAGTAATTTACCAAAGTCTAAAAAGCAAGTCAATGTCTAACTGGAAACTGGACTTTTTAGTCTAGGGAGCTTCATATGATAGCAGGACACCTCAGCTGCTACTTTTAAAGTTGCTAAGATGTTGTCATGTAATGGAAATCAGAAATTTGTTAAGTTTTGAGAGGGATTTGGTTTTCTGCAGGCTATTGTAACTCATCAGGATATATACCACCACCTAAAATGATTATTTTTCAAATAGAAGAAGTTTTTTAAAAAGCATAATGCTCTATCTACGAATGAATTTTGTAATTTAAATATACATAATCATTTAATAATGATTTATTAAAGTTAGAATAACATCCGTATATAAACTATACAAAGTATTAGAAGGTTTGGGCTGGAAACATCTAGTTTATCAATGGTTCACACCCCGTAAATAGCAGTTGCTCCAGATGAACCTCTACTCTTGCTTCTGCCACATTTAACTTAACACCACATTTGTCATTGCCGGGGTCCCCACCCTTCAGTTTTTGCCAATCCCCATGCTCTTTACTCTTGCAACTCACTTACCAACCCTATACACCAGAGTTTTGCCAAAAGTGCCTCCTCTCTCTGCAGGAATTTGGGAAGGAGTGTTGGCGAGAAAGGCTGATGGTATCCCAAGTTCTAGGAGCACTTACATCACATACTCCCAGAAAGGTTATTTAATTTATTTATTATATACCTGAAATAATACTACAATTCACCTAATTATAAGTTCAATTTAGTGAAGTAGCTTATGAACCTTATCATCATGAATAACATTGTTTTTATATAAAAATTTGCTCAGAATTCTAAATTGACTTGGAAAAAAAAAGAAAAAGAAGGCACTGTAAACACTTGGAGAAGCCTTGACTTATTTTTACCTCTAGGTAAGTTGCATTCAGTGGCTCATCACAAAACCACTTTCTCAATGTAGAATTCGTGCAAGAACATGGCACTTGTTCTGAATTTTCTTTATGCTTATTCTTTATCCAATCTGTGTAATTGTGTTGGCCACAACACTGTAACTAGGAAAAAGAGTCTATGAATTTTACTATAAAATATTCAAAATGCAGTCAATTATATGATTCCCATGCATATTAAAGCAGTTTATGTGATGAATTTATTAGGTTATTCTCCTTTGAAATGTAGTGAATAAACAAATCAGTATATTTTTGTTTATGTGTTTAATCCATTACTTTGTGGCTGCTATTGTTGATGTTAACCAGAGCTAAAGATCTCTACTCATATAAGTGGGCTGTATTTGGATGAAATTGTTACATCGGAATTTATCTTATAGGAGCCCAGGATGGAGGATACACTTGATATACGAAAGCTGCAAACCAAGTTTAGGGCCAGAATATAGAAGAGAGAATCACCTTAGCCATATCTTCCTCCGAACCCCATAGCAGTTCTCTTTATATTTATCCAGAATATACCGCCATATGCGTTTAATGTACATTCAGATTCAGGGTTATTTCTATTTTCTTAGGATTAATGTGAGATGTTAACTTTCAATTTTGTATTGTGTGAAAAATTGCCACAAAGAACCAAAAAAGATGATAAGGCAAATAGTCATAGAAATGATCAAACATCTAAGAAATGTCTCATTTCCGCTCTTATTAAGTTGAGTTGGGAGAATGTGAAAGAATCAGCTTATATATTTGTCACCCAGAAAATAAGAGAAAGTTGAAGTATTTCATTGTTTTCTAAACTTGTTATTGAAAGTTATAACACCAGTACTGCCTATATTACAACATGTACCAACAATCTTGGCACAATCTTGGATATGTTGAATGACTGAAATAGTGCTTTAGAGTTTGGAAATTGAAAGCTGGTTTAACCAGTCAAACTGACATACACTATTTTCATTATATTCATGGCTAGGAACGGTCAGCTGGATTCTCATTAATAGTAGTAATGTTGTACATAGAACTGTTTTCCTGCTTATCAGTTTATGACCATAGGAAGGGTCGATACTCTGCTATCAGTCATAATGCAATCTGAAAATGCAATACATGTAAGATCATATACATCAGGGAAAAAATAAGACAAGTGAAAACATTTATAATTACATTTCAATTCTGCTAAAATGCATTTCTGTTATTAACTGTACTAAAAATAATAACTATTTTTATGTGAGGCATCAAAGGTAGCAGTTAAGAGTACAAAATCTAGTGCTAGATTGCCTGGGATTGAATCTTGGCTTTGCCACTTATTAGCTGTGTGACACTAAGTTACTGAATTTCTCTGTTCTTCATGTATAAAACAAGGATAATAGTTCTTTACCTCCTTGGGTTGGGAGGATTAAATAAGTCAATATATGCAAAGCACTTACAGAAGGGCCTGGTGCTATGTAAATGTTTGCTGTTTTCTTCATCAAGCACCGACTGTGTTCCAGGTGCTGATCTAGTCCTGTAAACCATTTGGTTGACAACACCAATTCCCTTACCCTCCCCAGAACAATCTGAACTGTGAAATAATAATCATAAAAACATTAGCTAAAAAATATTAGTTGCTTACTATGTCCCAGACCCAAGGCTTTCTATCTATTCTATATATTACTTCATTTATTCCTGCCAACCAGAGGGAGGGGTTCTTCTGCCCATTTTACTAATGTGGAACCTCAAGTCATAAAGGTTACTTGTCCAGAGTCACACAGCTACTGCATGGCAGTCTTGACATTCAGGTTCAAACGGTAATGGCTGTACCACTCTGCTGCCAGCAGGGACTTTTCCCGCCGCCCAGGTGCAGCAGGGCAGATTACTCGACTTGGCAGAAGACCACCAACACCTTTACAGGTGAAACCAGGTTAAAATGCACATTAGTTCACCCAGAAAAGGAGATATCAGTTACAAAAAGATATAAGTTATAAAACTCAAGATTTGTAAGTGGGAACAGTGATATTCCACCCAGTTTGTTTGGAAGAATTACAAAAGCCTCTCATTCCTCCACCTCTATCCCCTGCGCTTCCCTTTCTCCTCCCTACCCTACAGTGGTCACCTCTGACAGCGAATTTTTAGTTTTATGCTAATTTTGTCTTACTGTTTTCTGTACAGCATTCAGAATAGTCCACTTGGGGATGTCTTCAGGCATATTTTTAGATCCATATTGAGAAATGACTAAATCAATTTGTTCATGCCACACTTGGTGAACCTGTTAAAAAAATGTATTAAAAGTGAAAATTTGATAGAAACTTTCCTTATGGTTCTTCATAAAAGAGTATTCAAAGTCAATTTGCTCTTTTCTGCTTATTTCTAACTGTTTTTTCTTCCTTATAACTATTTTTAGCAATCTGAGTGAGTGTTGAGGCATTTGGTCTTTCACATTGTGATCTGTAGGAAGAATACATTAGATTTATTTTATGATTAGGGAGAAAGCTATGTGCTATTCTTCTGAATGTCTAAGGGTTCTACATCTCTTCTTATACCCTCAGGAAAAATTGTGAAAGACTTTGAAATGGACCAAAAAAGATTACTGAGTATCTTTTCAAGAAACTAGGCCTTCTCTAGGGTCCTCTGATTCTATGGGAGTCTGTACCTTTCGTAGTTTTTAACTTATTTTACAACTTTGTAAGTTGTAGAAAACTATAGCTACAAGTGTCTTCTCTTTGGACTCTCCTTTGAATTAGATTTTGTATCATACTGGTTCCTACGTTAATTAGATGTTAAATAAAATCATTGGCCTGTGTCTATTATATATTTTTATAAGAATTATGATTTCTAATTTAAAAAATTATCCTTTCATAATACTAAAACAAAAACAATCAGATCTGAAAGTTTAGGGCAAAACTGCTATTTTAAAATCTAGACATTGCAGAGGTAAGTTTTTTTTTAAAGCTTTCTCCAGTGATTTTTATTTTTGCAAGGAAAGAGTCAACTTGAGCTAACACCTGTTGCCAATATTCCTCTTTTTTTTTTTCCTTCCCCAAAGCCCCAGTGCATAATTGTATAGCCTAGTTGTAAGCCCTTCTAGTTCTTCTATGTGACCTGCTGCCACAGCATGGCAACTGACAGACAAGTGGTGTGGTTCCATGACCGGGAAACAAACCCGGGCCTTCAAAGCAGTGAGAGCGCTGAACTTTAACCACTAGGCCATAAGGGCTGGCTCAGTAAATTTTAATAGAAACTTACTTGATCATTTAAAAGTTTATATGACTTTCATAACTGATTCCTACTTTGGTCCTCAAAAATACCAAAAGGTAGAAAGGACAGATATTATTCACATTTTATGACCAAGGAGACAGATACACAGAGAATTTAATTATTTGCTTTGTTTACAATGAATAAAGAAGAAGAGCTGATACTTTTAAATATGGTTCATTTGAATTCTAGTCTAATGATTTCTCATTGTATTATGCTGACTTTGAATAACAAAAATTAAATAACTGGTGGGAATACTACAATAATGAAAACATCTGTACAAGTTAAACTCTTATGCAGTGACTTATGTATCTATGTTTTAATATACTTAAGAAGATTAGAATAATGTAAAATGTTATTTAGATCTCTAAGTTATCTATTTCACTTATTCTTTAAGTTAATTTTCATTTAGAATAGAAAATGATGTCTTTCCATTTTATATTGTTGTGGGGAGTGGGCAGACTTAAGTTCTCATTTCCTCTCTAAAGCATTACTTGGGAGATCCAGAGTGCATATGAATCAAACATTAGTACATAAGAGGGAAAATGAGTTTCATGTATAATCTTTGTGATTATTATATGAATAAAATTCCCTCACACATACTCAATTTGACAAACATCCATTGAAGCCCTAGTGCATCTCCAACACTGAGTTAGATGCTGTAAATGGCATAAAAGATTTAAAGGCTCGTAAGAGCTTAATCCAGTTTGAATGTAGAAAACAAACTGATGTAAACAAAGCTGTTATCTCTGGGAACAGTTAATAAGGGTTCGAGTCTAGGCTCTGTCATTTCCCCACGGCATATTTCAGCAACTGTTTCTCCTCTCAATCTCGTCACCTTCCTGTTCTAGAAAGTAAGACTAATACTGCATCTCTACAGATAGTTGTGAGAATCAATAATATAATGTCTATAAAGTGCTTATCACAGTCTCTAGCACATGGTGGTTATTACTAACTGGTAGTTCTTATTATTCTTAAAATAAGTAGAGAAGAATATGTGAATAATACTTAAGTAAATAGGAATGAAACTGATAAACTATATTTACGTGTTAAGGGTCCTTAATTGTTATATTCAGGTTCTATCACCAAGTCCAAAAGTTAGAGGCTGATGGGTTGGGACCTGGTGCTTTGCCACCAAAACAGCTTTCCAGAACTCACCTGCTGTATGTACACACACACACACATACATATACATACACATGTAGATGTAGACAGAGGAATGTAGACAGAGGAAATGTAGACAGAGGAAATTTTAGCTCCAAATGCCAAGCCATCAACAATAGGCCCTTGGTGATTAGGTCTCAAGAGAGCAAATACAGTCGGAGGGCAATGGTGTTACATGGGAAAGATTTTGTTGGAGTTGGTCATTACTTAGGAGTCTATATATAGAAAGAATTTGAAGGCTAGGAAGCATAGGGATTAATCAGCCACACCCTCAAAATTAATGAAGGGACGGAAGAGAGCTCTTCTACGGCTACTCTATGACAGGAACTTTATAAATTGTCACTTGATAACTCTATAAGGTAGAAGGTATTAACCGTATTTTACAGATGAAAACATAGGCTTAGGGTTGTTAAATGGCTTTATATCTAGTCATACACAGACCTGTATGACTTCAAGTCCATGATCTTTTCACAAGACAATCTCCTGTGATACAAAGACTACACTGAAACACTGAATTTTTGTGTCTGTGTGTGTGTGTGTGTGTGTGTGTGAGGAAGATTAGCCCTGAGCTAACATCTGTCGCCAATCCTCCTCTTTTTGCTAAGGAAGACTGGCCCTGGGCTAACATCCGTGCCCATATTCCTCCACTTTATATGGGATGCTGCCACAGCATGGCTTGACAACCGGTGAGTTGGTGTGCGCCCAGGATCCGAACCCCGGGCCGCTGCAACAGAGTGCGCACACTTAACCACTACACCACCAGGCGGCCCCTGAAATTTTTTAAAGAATTAAAAGAAACTGTAGGCTGTAATAGGTAAGTTTTGTTACCAAGAAGTTTTTTTAGGCAATTTATTATGTGCTTTTTTGAACCGAACTTGATAAATATAAACCTTCTTTTAAATAATTTAATTATATCACTCACGACCATACCTGTGCAAAATATATGAATTATTCAGTACATCTTATTTAAATGAAATTGCTAAATTTCAACTTAGTACAAGTCTAAAGGTATTTCTTTACAAAAATAGAATATACTGTAGTGATTGGGTCAGTAATGGTAGCCAGGTTGGCTGGGGGGCCAATTTGGATTCCCCACACTTAGCATCCTCACCTCCTCTTCCCTCACATACTTTGTTATTTACAGCAACATTCTCAACCTTCTGCAAACAGAGTTAAAGTTCTCCTAGCCCACCCTTCCAGTCCCCTGGCCCCTTCCTATATAGAATTCTGGTACTTCTATTGAGGCCGCCCTGTGGTCTAGTGGTTAAGATATGGCACTCTCCCTGTTGCGGCCTGAGTCACTCGTCTGTCAGTTGTCATACTGTGGCAGCTGTGATGCTGAAAACTATGCCACTGGTGTTTCAAATACCAACAGGGTCCCCCATGGTGACAGGTTTCATCAGAGCTTCCAGACTAAGACAGACTAGGAAGGACCTGGCCACCCACTTCTGAAAAATTAGCACCAGAAGATGAGAGAATGGCACAAAAGACCAGGCAGGATTCCACTATGCTGTACAAAGGGTCACTAGGAGTCAGAATCAACTGGACGGTACTAACAATAACAAACTTCCATTGAATCTTTTTTTCCTCAAAGACATTTACCTTTAGCTTTTACTATAGGTTTACAGGTCTCAATAATCTAAAGTATCCAATTTTCTTTAGATTTCAAAAAAAAGGATGATCGTTTCATACCTCCTCTTTCTTTGTGAAGATGAGTGCTGAAAGTACAACCTGAACACCAGAGGCCCACATCAACAGTACTGCATACTAAAACATAAGAAAAAAGAGATTACAACTATGCTTCCAATATATTTTTAGATGCTACCATGATGGGAAAATGCATATCATATGAAATATGCAGTCTTAAAATATACATAGGTATTGCTGAAGTTTCCTGCCCTGATGTACATGAATAAAATTACTGAAACCAGGAGCTGGCCCCATGGCATAGTGGTTGAGTTTGGCATGCTCTGCTTCGGCGGCCCAGGTTCACAGGTTTGGATCCCAGACGCAGACCTACACCACTTGTCAGTCATGCTGTGGCAGCAACCCATGTACAAAATAAAGGAAGACTGGCACAGTTGTTAGCTCAGGGCTAATCTTCCTTAGCAAAAAAAAAAAAAAATTATTGAAAGCAAAAGGCAAAGAAAAAAATCAATGAACATTTAGATAAGAGTACAGTAGAAAGAAGTGACAGTACAGTCATCCCTTGTTATCCACGGGGGATTAGTTCCAGGACTCTGCAGGTACCAAAATCTGAAGATGCTCAAGTCCCTCATATAAAATGGTATAGTATTTGCATATAACCTACACACATCCTCTTGTATACTTTAAATCACCTCTAGATTACTTATAATACCGAATACAATGTAACTGCTATGTAAATAGTTGTGACACTGTATTGTTTAGGGAATAATGACAAGAAAAAAATGTCTGTACATATTCAGTACAGATGCAACCACTGTAGGTCTTTTGATCCATGGTTGGTTGAATCCACAGATGCGGAATCCGTGCATGCGGAGGGCCGACTGTACTTCATGATAACCTCAACAGACTATGTGGTCTAATGGAGTTGTTGATGATGCTTCTTCATTCAGATCTAAAACTGTCAGATGGAGGAATTCAATTATCTGGACCTCCACTTAACACCCCATTCTGCTAAAACTAGAGAACTCACTAAATGGTGACCTACTATGTAAACTATTCCATCATGCAAAAGTAATGAAAAACAAAACAGAAAATAACAAAAGCAACTGCAATAGTAAAGTTAAGTCTGTATGTACATTTGGACTATTTCTTTGAAAACTGAAAATACTCCTAACCAAAACCAAATAAAATGATTTTCACACTTATTTGACTATTTTCTATTTTTTTTAAACTCATGGCCACTGCAATCTTCTTCATCATAGCAGCACATAGTGACACATATTATCTAGAATTCATAATAATTTAAAAAGTTAGCTGTCTAAATATTTTACTAACTAAAAATATAAGAATGATTTACTGTTAGTATTCTTAGTTTCACATATTTTAAACATTTAATACTTTAAAATAGTCCATTAAAATGCTTAATTACATTTCCTATTTTCAGAGACAAAAATTTTAGGGATAAAAATATGGTCTTTAGGGGCCGGCCTGGTGGCAGAAGCGGTTAAGTGCACGTGCTCCGCTGCAGCCGCCCGGGGTTCGCCAGTTTGGATCCCGGGCGTGCACCGATGCACCAATTGGCAAGCTATGCTGTGGCGGCGTCCCAGGTAAAGTGGAGGAAGATGGGCACAGATGTTAGCTCAGGGCCAGTCTTCCTCAGCAAAAAGAAAAAAAAAAACAGGAGGCTTGGCAGATGTTAGCACAGGGCTGATCTTCCTCACAAAAGGAAAAAAAAAATTTGGTCTTTAGACCTGTTTAGAAGTTTAGATTTATAATACTTCTATATACAATATCTCACGTAATCTTCACTAATAAGAGATTGGAAGAGGCAGGAAAAATTGTGCAAAACAATTGTGAGGGATCAGAATTTGCCACCCCAAAATGTGTCTCTTTGGCTTGATTATTTTTAAGAACAAGACTCAGGAAGAAACTTTGACTTTCCCCCTAACTGACTAAAAGAATTTAAGATAGAAGGCCTGCTCCAGGAAGGAGCTATTGCCATAGATAACTATAGTGTAATATGAACTAGGTGTGGTAGACAGGGAGGAACCTAGAAGGCCCACTTGATCCAAGTCCTCTCCATGTCCCATTATTTCTGCAAGGCATAGCAAACATTTGTTTACCAAACATTTGCTTTTCCACCTCCATGTGAATTGCCTTCCTCTTCTTTGAAGCCTCAAATCATTACCCCCAACATCCCCCTTTGTTTTCAGCTGAAGATGGTATTTAAGGTGGTGGCTTTGGCCATTTTGGTGAGTTACTCAGTTTTCTTGGGTTTCTCCCATGTATACATGATATTAAATTTGTTTCATTTTCTCCTGTTATTCTGTCTCATGTCACTTTAATTCTTAGACCAGCCAGAAGAACCTAGAGGGTAGAGGAATATTCTTCCTCTGCTACACAATAAAAAAAATTACTGGGTTTCTTTTTAATGGCAAGCTGGTTGTTGTCTAGTGGATCCTATCAGGTTTCTGATCTCATGTGGGGTATGAAACATTACTTTTGACTAAGCTATCACTGTATTCAAGTCTATAGAGTTAACCTAGAGAATTCCAATAGTAATACAAAGGTTTCCTGTCCATAGCAATGCAAATGATTTCTATTCACGGAAATACAAATGAATAATAGAGTATATAAATCTCCACAAATCTAATTCTCATTTCAACTAGTTGTTACTTCTTACTGCTTCCCTTATTAATTACTTATTTAAATAAAGTCTTTGACATGCTCATTTACATATATGTGAGTCATGATTTTACATTTGAAAGTTATCTTTTAACAGCAGTTAGATGTTTACAGTAATAAGAAAAATTCAGTGTATTTATGTGTTATTAGCACTTACAGAGCACAGTGAGATACTGCTTAAGCACTTTTAAAAGAGGGAAGTAAAATTGCTCTGATGAGTTAAACTGCAGAACTAATATCATTTGATTAGAGTAGGGGTATGCAAAGTCACCTTTAAGCCACAGAATAGCAGTAAGGCCTATGACATTTACTCATAACTTGACTGCCCATAACTTGAATTAACATGGTTAAAGGAAAAATGTGTCCATCAGGAAAGTAGTGGTAAGTTCAGAGGAGAAGAGCAGAAGCGTCATGATTACAAAAAGTAGCAGTCCCCTTCCATGGAGTGACCAGAAGGGAGAGTGGTGTCTTGGCTTTAGGATCTAAGCTGTCAAGTCTTAGTATCATGTATATTCTTTACGATGGGGTCTACCAGGCTTTCTCAGCCGGAGGACATTAATACTTGAATCATATGAGGTGGAAACTTATAAGATGTTTCTGTTTTTCTCCCTCTAGGTTCCCCCTTCCTTCCCAGTCCCATTCCCCAACATTATACTGGTAGCAGGCTCTATGTCCCTCTTGCCTAAATGGGGATTTTTGGCAAAGAGAACAATCAAAAATTTCCTGCAAGCCATTTCTGTCCTGGTTTCCATATCTAAAATCAGAAGCCCAATGAGAAAATTATGCTAAGTGTCCTGGAAGAAGAGTAAGATAAGATTTGAGAAGAGAGGCTGAGCCTTTGAGAAGAGAGAGTGAGGTCTCTTTTTAGACTAAAAAGATTCTGAGACTGATCCTAGAGGTGTGGGTTCCCAGAGCAACAGGGACTAGCACTTGGCTTTCTGGCTTTGCCCTGATGAAGTGGCAAGACCCCAGAGGGAAATGCAAGTGTGGTTTCTAGCATTACCTAAAATGCCTCTGCCAGGGGTAATATTCAAATAATAATAGGTAGCAATATTTAACAATAGGCCACAACTAATCCCTACGTCACGTGTGGCTCCTTTAATTGCTGTGTCTTGGGCGAGTGTGGTTGAATGTCTCAAGGGAGGAGTACTGCAGGGAAGGAACTGAAATAATAGCTACAAATCCTTCACAAAAGGGTTCCACTGATATGCCTGAACTGGTATATACTGGATGAAGAGCAGCCCTGCCTTTGCCACTCTAGGCCATTCAAACAGCACAATGAGTAGACCTGAAGGGACCATGTGAGCCAGGAAAGTGAGTGCTTTCATGGTAACCAGTGTAGACTGATAATCAGTGTCCTGAGTGACCACCCAGACTCTCAGCACTACATAACAGCTAAGCAACTCTGCATTCTTCCTGGTAAAAGACACAATAGCTAAAGTTGAATTCCTATCTGATTGACAGGAGAGTGCCTGTGAATTAGAACTGAACTGATTTGATTTAAAGAAAATGTTAAAAGCTATAATTCATCTGAGTCTGTGAATTGTGATCCATATCTGCCACAAGTACGGTAAATGGCTCAGGTCCAGGTCTATACTCCTGATTGCAATTTATCTTTTCATGTTACATGCCTAGGGAGAGAGCGTGTGCTAGTCAGACGCCAGCGTCTGGTCCTCTCAGCAGTTATATTTCTCTTTGTTAAACAGTAAGTTGTGATCTCAGCTATAAGTTAGCTTCCCACACGGCATGCCCACAGGGATAAAATGTGCTGACTACAGGACATGTATCCTTTTCCTTGCTAATCTGCATTGCTTATTGACTCCAACGCACTTTATTCCGATTTTAGTCTTCAGATTCTCAAGTTTGGTTAATTGTAGTTCACCCTAGGACACCGATTCCTATTGACTCTGTGTTGAAAATTAACATCTAAGTGTGCAAGTGTTGAAGTCCAGATTCGATCCATGGACAACTCACCAAGAAAATTCAACCTAGAAAAGTTTCTTGGGAGAGGGCACTTTATTTGCCTTACTCCCAAGGGCATACTCTACCGCAATGTTATGGTGACATAAATCATTATTGCCCATTTGTGTGACTTGGACACAGAAAACTGAAGATACAAATTCAGGCTATTGAAATGACATACGTACCAGAATTAGGAGCCATCTGATTTCATTGTAAATTCCCAAATAACCCAAGAGACAAAGAAGAACAGTAGCAGATCCAATTCCAATCAAAATTCGAAAAATATACACTACCAAGTGATTATTTTCATCTGTGGAAAGCACAAAATAATTTATTATTAAGTGATATTTGTTTTCTATTTAATAATAAATGCAGCAACCCAAGGTTTCCCTAAGCAGGTGTCGCCAAACCACTAGAATTCCCTTTCTTTTTTTTTAACTTCATTCTAGTGCCTCTTACTTATGCTTAGCAACAACTTTTCTTCCTTTAATGACATGATCGAGAATTTCTTCAATCTCAGATATCTCTTTACCTTTACCTTATCTTCATTGTCTTCTACGAAAGAAGACAATTTGTTCTAGGGTGAACACTTCTATGTCTAACGTACATCCAAACATATACGTAATCATTTATTCATTCATTCATCAAAAATTTTTTTTTTTTTTTTTGTGAGGAGATCAGCCCTGTGCTAACATCTGCCAATCCTCCTCTTTTAGCTGAGGAAGACTCGCCCTGGGCTAACATCCGTGCCCATCTTCCTCCACTTTATTATGGGACGCTGCCACAGCATGGCTTGACAAGCGGTGTGGTGGTGCGTGCCCGGGATCCAAACCGGCGAACCCCAGGCCGCTGCAGTGGAGCGTGCGCACTTAACCGCTTGCGCCACCAGGCCGGCCCCATCATCAAAAATTTTTTATGACCTAACATGTATAGGTTAAGTTTCCTTTGTATGAAACCCTGAGTTCATTGCTATTATGGCCCCATTAAAACTGTATTTTATTCTCTCCCCTTCTAGACTGAGCTCTCTGTGCTAGAAACTATATATATAACTATATATATTTATATAGTCAACAGACTAACTTTTAAATGCTTAGTGCTATGGCACAGACTGTAGAACACTAAGTGCCTAACAGCTATTTGTAGAAAAAAAAAGGTAGAATAAATAAATTAAATATTAGGTTTTATGGTAGAACAGTGGAGGCCATGGTGGGCCAGAGCCAGCCTGTTCTAGCTCATAAAAGCCAACTGTTAAATTTTCACAAAATTGGTAAGCCAACTCAGTTCACACTGGCACCTTGAAATAGGCCATTGTGGGATTATTTAAACCACAGAAATAAGTAAATACCATAAATCAAGAATCTCCATCCCAGAACTGGTTCTACCGCTGGGTAGAGAAACACCTAATCCGGTGGGGAGAGGAGGTTGGAGGGTGGAGCTAGGCAAGATTACTGAAGAAGGTAACATCTGAGTTTAGGCTTTAAATGACAATTGGAAACATCTAGGTTGGAACATCAGAAGCATTCTGAGACACAGAATTGCACAGTGTGTGTAAGAAACTCAGCTTTGCTGGCGCTTACAGTTTGAGGCAGATGAGACTGGAAGTTTGCAAAGGCCAAATTACAGGCACTTTGGGTGCTGTTTTCCAGTCTTCCTCACTGGAATTAAGCTCAAGGAGGCCAGGACCTTTATCTTTCTTGTATACTACTATATCCTCAGCTCATGGGATAGTGCCCAACGTGTAAAAGACGCTCTAGAAAAATTCGTCATATGAGAAAATAATGGCAATAGGGAGCCAGAAAGAAGCTCTTATGTTACATGGGTAAATTTGCATTTAAAATGGAATGGTATTTGCCTGCTACTAAAACATTGGGGTGTACCCCCAGAAAAGCTGGTTTACAAAGAAATTAAAACCGGCTCTTAAAGGGCCCACGCGCAAACTCACCCGTTTCAGAAAGCAACCGAAAATCACCAGAATGAAAGGTGCACAGTGCTTTGCTGAAAAGAGACTCACCTTATAGGTCCTGAGTGCATCTCAGTGAGAGGTGAGACCTCTCCAGGGACTGGGACATTGGC